CACTGCTGAGGGGAGCAGCAGGTGAGACAGGAGAGGTCTGCTGCGCCATGTGGGACCCTCGCCGGCTGGCCGGGATTGAACCAGCACTGCAGAGGCTGCGGACAGCTTCACGGTGTGGCGCTCAACCGCCTGTGCCACCAGGGCAGGTCCCCCATGTCGTATTCTTATACCATTTTTTTTCTTCTCCCAACAAAATGATGACTCTGTGAGAGCAGACATTGCATCTGCTCTCCTCTCTTCCACTACACATTATCTGCCTTCGTAATCACTGGTGAGAGAATGTACTCAGGAAAGATGGATGAATGAACAAAAGGTTATCAATGTTCATTTTGAATGTCCCTCATATCATAACTAGGAAGAAATTCTCAAATATGACATGTTTTTAGGCCATGATGATGTAGCCTACCCGTGACGAAACAGAATAACTACCAGGAAATTTTAGATCTAATTTTTAATCTGAAACAAATCAAAAAATAAAACAAGACCTCAAGGACTTAAGAATCTTAAAGGAGTGATCATGATGTGAACATCTTTCTGGAATATTTAGCCAATATTGGAACTCAGAAAAGTTCATCAATGTAAAAAATGAAGTGAAGCAAACATTTTCCTTTCCTCACTTTCCCTTGAAATGGGCTCTAAAGAAATCTGGTATATTTTAGGGAGACAGACGTGTTTGCTGTATAGCACACACTGCCTGACTATTGATGAGTCATGATGGTGTTTAACATGTCAAAAGTTCATTCCCTGCAGTATTCAGGCAAGATTTTCTAGCCATCTTTTTTTACTCACTGACTTGGGGAAAAACTACTTACAGTCTACAGAAGGATGCAGGGAAACATGTCATTTTTCTGGTTAGCGTAAGTGAAGACAGCATGGCGACTTCCTTGATGATTGCTCTGAGTAGGTGTCCTTCCACTGCCTCTGAACACAACCATTGGAATCCAGATCTCCATATGAAGGGACTTAGGCAAAAGAAGCAAAGGGCAATGAGTCTCTTCAATCACAAGAATGGACAGGCTGCCGCCTTATGTGCATTGCTCAGTCACGGTGTAAGAATCGTGAATCGACAGTCTGTTTCATATCTCGTAAGTAACATCCAGAATTTTGTCCTGATTCAAGGCAGAAGTGATGATCTGTACCCCAGAGAATATAAGCATTTCAAAGCAGAAGCACAGGAAATGTCTATTTCAGTCAAAAATATCATTAAAATCAGTGACACAGGTAAGGTATCATCTTCTCTTGACTGTTTCATTCATGCAACAAAATATAATGTTGAGAAATAAATTGCTCCTACTTCAGATAATATATTCTACCAAGTCGTTAATGGAATATATCAATACATCATTGTGGAATGGAAATCATTTATTATGTCACCTCCTTTTGCAGATACCTGTCCCCACGATGTTGACTAGGCAAATGGATTTCCATTTCACATGGATTCTTTCTAAATTCTATTAATTTGTGGGTTCTTGCTCAAACCATGCTACTGCAGTGCGCCTTGTAAAAACATATTTTTCACCTATTATCCAAATAACTGCATTTTTTTCCACTGAGAAAAATTCTTTTAGTTCTTTTTTTTTTTTTAATAGAGGCATGCTTTATTTATTTGTTTGCTGGTTTGTTTGTTTGTTTTGTTTATACATGCACTGGGTAAAGTCAGAAGCGCGGGAGGGTGAGAGAATTCACCAGAGCCAGAGCGGGGAGCAGAGCAGGCAGAAGGACCGAAGTACACTGCTGGGGGGAGCAGCGGGAGGCAGGAGAGGTCTGCGCGCCATGTGGGACCCTCCTCTGGTGGCCGGGGAGCAGCCGGGGATCGAACCGGCGCCGCAGAGGCCGCGGGCAGCTTCGCAACCCAGCGCTCCACCGCTGCGCCACCGGGGAGGCCCTCTTTTAGTTCTTGAGTGTATTTTGGTCTTCAAGTTCCACTGTTAAAGCAATGTTATGTATCAATATTATACCTGATTAATTGATTAATGGGTTGCTGAGGGTCTTTGCTTGGAATAAACTCTGGAGATTGTATCAAATTTTATTGATACAATTATTGACACAATTCTATTAATAAATTTATCAAAATTTATTGGACTGCCTTGAGGAAGGTGACAAGACAGACTAGAACTTCATGATTTTGCTATGATCATCCCATATCTCAATACTTACTCATGGAATGAGAACTGGGTGTCATGAAGAAATAGCAAGTAATTCTTTCTTTTCTTTTCTTTCCTTTCTCTCTCTGTCTCTCTGTCTCTCTTTCCTTCTTTCTTTTGAGGCTATATTACGTGTGAGACCCTGCTCTGAAAACTTTATTCATCATTATAAGACCTATGAATTTGATATCATCTGTTCTTATTGGTGGGTTAAGAAAGTCAGCACATTGAAGGCTTGAACAACACACCCTAACTCTAAAAACAGGAGTCAAGATAAAAATTTAGAGTAGTGCAGCCCAGGAGAATTTTCTAAATGATGAAAATGTTCTGTGTCTGTGATGTCCAATATGGAACACATTAGCCTCCAATGGCTACTGAACACTTGAAATGTGGCTTGAGTTTCCATTTATTTAAACATGTTTCTTTTGACTTTAATTACATTTAAATAGCCACATGTTGCTAGTAGGTACCCTATCAGACAGCTCAGGTCTAGATTTTTTCAGATACCAAAGCCAGTGGTGTTTCCAATGATCTCATACACTGTTAAGGTGTTTTATATGCTACACATTAAAATTATTTCTTTGAGGTGACAACTTTCAACATATGATAGAAAGAAGTGTTAAGCTTCTTTGGAAATTCATATTGGAAAGAAAAGCTTTTAATCTGTGAATAATTAATAAACCCACTAATTGCCAGTCTAAAGGATGTCTTCAAGCCACACAGAAACTTAATTTTTAGGGCTTAATTGGAGTGGAGAGAGGACAACAGAAACAGAGCAATAAACAATCCATCCTCTGACCGTTGATATGAAATAACTTCTGAAATTCTCTGACCCAAAGCCTCCTCAGAAAAGAATATCCTAGCAGTCCATCTTCCTCTACAGTTTGTGTAGAAAGAATTACCTAAGTGCATTCCTTAATACCTTCCTGTTGCCCTGTAGCTGCCCTTCCCTGTTCTCATGTCTCTTTCAGTGGTTTCCATGTGTGAAGTCAGCTGAGCGCTGTGTTCAGAAGATATGCGTCCAGATCATCACGGCCTGGATACATCTTCAGATTCGCCACACAGAGAAATATGCCTTTGCTTTCCTAATTGTTCCCTCTTCTCTCCTCCTCCTATGAAGCTTTTACCCAAGTGTGTTCCTGATGTATTTACTGATCTTAGGTTTCTCTGTCTCTATAAGAATTTTATTTCATTTTATTTTTAAGATTTATTTATTTATTTATACAAGCACTGGGTACAGTCAGAAGTGCAGGAGGGTGAGATTATTCACCAGAGCCAGAGCAGAGAGCAGAACAGGCAGAGTGACGAAGTACACTGCTGAGGGGAGCAGCAGGCGGCAGGAGAGGTCTGCGCGCCATGTGGGACCCTAGCCCAGTGGCCGGGGATCGAACCGGTGCTGCAGAGGCTGCGGGCAGCTTCGCAACCCAGCGTTCAACCGCTGCACCACCTGGGAGGCCCCTCTCTAAGAATTTTAAATAAAGGTATTTAATATAGGTGTCTTTTTGAAAATTTTTTAAAGGATTTATTTATACAAGAACTGGGATACAGGCCAGATGTGCAGGAGGGTAAGAGGATTCACCAGAGACAGGGCGGGGAACAGAACAGGCAGAATGACGACATACACTGCTGAGGGGAGCAGTGGGAGAGACAGGCGGGGTCTGTCACGCCATGTGGGCAACTCTGCCACCATCAGGGATTGAACCGGCACTGCAGAGGCCGCGGACAGCTTCTCAGCGCTGTGCTCAACTGCCTGCGCCACCAGGGAGGCCCAATATAGGTGTCTTTTGAAGATGATTGCCTTGTTTTAGTATAAAGACAGTGAGGTGAGGTACCATCATGTGAGGTACCATCAAGTGGGAATTGGTTAGCCTCCTGAAGGTCAGAAGTCACGACATCCCACTTGAAAGTTCTGGAAGGCTTCAATAACAGTATTTACAATTTCGGTTGGGGCCCTGTAAGGTCTGACCTACCCATGCGGGGTGTGTGGCATCAACAAGAACATATCCTGCTTTCTTTGCCCTCTCTCCAGCTACTGCTTCCAGTACTTTATTTTTAGAGCAGAATTTCACATGGGCACAAGCAGGCAGCTCTTTCTGTTCTTTTTCTTGTTAAAAGTTTAAAATTGTTGAGTGGTTAGCTTTGCATGTTGGAAAGCAAGACTTTTTTTGCTATTAAAAATTTCAGGCAACTGCGATTTTTAAAAGGTTCTGCATCTTTTTGAAAATTTAAGGCAGTTATGTTTCAGTTTGTGGGGTTTTTTTGTGGAAGTGACAGGGAGTAGGGAGTCAGGAGGAACAGTGGCTGGGGATAAGACACTGGAGGAGGGCTGACTGTGTGCTTCCCTTCCCAATTCCACATTAAGTTCACATCAGAAATGGGCAAATGCTACAATACAGGATTTTTTTTTTTCCTGAAAAGTCCGTTGTTGAACATTTACCAGCAAATCACTGGGTAGGCCTCACCAGATTCTAGGATCAGATGAGTGGAGAGGAAGACCTGGTTAACTGAACAGGTGAAAAAACACTGTATTCATTTTCATTGCTATCATCCTCCTAGTCAAAGACATCATTACATACTTACAATGTCGAGCACTGTCCTAAGGCATTGCTTTCATCATCGTCCTCACATTAAAAAAAAAAAAAAACCTCTTTGAAGTTTATACTATGTCAGCCCCATTTAAGGGTAATGAAGTCCAGAGCATTACCTGCCTGGACTAGGAAGGCAGATGCTGGATTACCCATCTGAATGTGGTTGGATTCAAGGATCAGGTGGCAGCGCTCAATGACAGGATTTACCCAAGGTGTTCGAATCCCTCCCCCTCCCAATCCCCCCCCCCCACAACAGGAAAGGGGCAGGATGTGCTTCATGTCTGTGACCAGATGGCAGGCAGCAGGGCCAGCCACAAATACTCCCTCCCACTGTCCTCGCAGACACATGGAAAGCTTGCCCTCCCCTTGGCCCTCTGAAGTCAGGCTTGGTTAGAAGACCTGCTCTGGCCAATCACTGAGAGCAGCGGTAATGTTCACAGTATGCAGGCTGAAGCTTTAAGCATCACCCCTGCATCGCCATTTCCTCTCTTTCCAGTGCCAAAGAGATGGGCAACACTCCATTTACATAGCGAACAATTTGACAAAGCAAAATACAAAAACGAACAGATGTTAACGAACAATGTGGGGGCTCTGGGGTTAAGGCAGGGTGGGAAAAAGGTATAAGGAGAAAATGGATGGTGGGGTGGGGAAATAAAAACGCTCCAGAGCCAGGCTGTCAGGCTGGGCTGTCACAGGAATAGTGGCAAGCAGAGTTTTTAGCTGACCCTTAAGAAACCCTTAAGAGCGGCAAGTAATTAACCATTATGGAGTTAGGCCTCTGAGATGCTGGGGCATTTGTTACTGCAGCATAACGCAGTCTATCCATCAGAAGAGTCTGAAAAGCACAGGTCTCCAAAAAACAAGAGACTGAATGGGAGGGAGGGAACAGGATCATTCATTTCCCCTAGGCTGGAGGTAAAGCAAACAGCCATGTCTAAAGCTTACTCTCAAATATATACTCGTCACTAGGTGGGGGCCAAAGCCAGGTTCTGACTTTTATTTCCTTAGGTCACACTCAGGCTGACCCTGACATTGGTCAGTAGTGGGGGCTCTGGGGGACCATGGAGAGTGAGGAGCTAAAGGGACAGGGACATGAGATGCAGGAAGAGCCTGGGAGATGGAGATGAGGAGAGACAGTTAGAAGAAGGGAAGCAAGAGATGGGGGCAGCTGGGGAGGAGGGAACAGAGACTGGGAGAGAGATTGTGTTCAGCCCACTGAACAGGAAACCAAGAGTGCTGGAGACAGGGAGACAGAAACGAGAGGTGACGACAGAGTCCCGGGACACCAGGAAGGGGAAGTGGAGGCACATGTAGGGGCCCAAAGAGGCCAGAACTGGGAGAGAAACAGAACCACTGGGGAAACAGGGAGATGGAGACATAGGAGAGGGGCTCTACCAAGAGCCAGGTGGGGCCAAAGCTACTAGCTGTTGCTCTGGGAGTCCTTGCTGGTGGTGGAGTCCGGGCCGGTGCTGGAGGCGGGACCTTTGCTGGACTCTGGGGTGCCACTTGATTCTGACGCCGCACCTCTACTCTCTGAGACACCGAGGCTTTCCTGGCCTCTGCTGGACTCCAAGTATCCAGTGGACCCCAGGTTGCTACTAGAGTTGGGGTCTCTGAAGGTCACATGGCCCCCCATGGAGCTGCGACTGGACATCGGTCTGTCACTTTGGTCACCAAAGGTGACATGACCAACATTGGAGGTGGTGGCATGGCCTCCACTGGACGCCGGCATGATGCTAGTCCTGTGGCTCAAGATGGACCCGGGGATATTATTACTGGGATTCCTGCTGCCCAGCATGGGCGTGCCAGAGCCCAGGCGGCTACCGGTGAGACTTGAGACACTGTCCCCCTTCTTCAGGTTCTCAGCCATCTGCTTCTGCTGCTCCCGGGCCTCCAGCTTGGGAGGAGCGGGGGAGAGGTGAGTTAGGGACCCACAGGCGAGCAGAGGTCCCCTTCCCGAAACCCACGCCCCCATGCTCACCGCCTTCTCCACTTGTCCCAGCAGCTCCTCCTTGCTCAAGGGGTAGTCATCCTTGGCTTCAAATCCAAGGTGTTCTTCCCTGATGTGGGGGACAGGGAGGGACTGCTACACTCTCCACCCACAAAAGGTTGAGAGGAGCATCCCACACTATCCCCTCGAGCTTCCGACTCCTTCCTGTGCCTCCAAAGCACCCACTGCACTATCTGCTTCCTCCCAGAGCCACACCTACCCTCCGGTTCCCAAGCCCCGCATCCTGTTTGTCTTCTCGGTCCCCAGGGATTCCCCTCCCTCTCCTTCCTCCCTTCTGCCCTAGGCCTCACAGGTTGCTCGGGGGCCGTGGGTAGGCCATCTTCTTAGGCTGTTCCTCAAAGCTCTGGCCCAGCACCGTGAGGGCCGCCCGCTCCAGGCTGTTCTCGGTGCTGTAGTTCTGCAGGGTGGGGAAGTCAGCCGTCAGCTCTGACCCATCCCCTAGGGCCTGACCCAAACAGGACCAGCTCCCTGACCCCCTTGGTGCCCCTGACTGCAGACCTGGGTATCAATGAAGGCCCGCACTGTGAGGAGGTCTACTAGCCGCTGCTCAATGAGGCCTAGGAAAAGGGTTATATCTCGGTCTCGCATGAAGTTCTTGATTCCGAGGAGATCCTTGATGCTGCTGCTGTCACACTGGGCCGTAGTGAAGAGTTTCTGGATGTCTGCAGTTAGGAGGTGGACAGGCTGTCGTGGACAGGTGCCTACCTTCACAGCCGTCTAGCGGCCACAACCATATTTGTTGAAGGAGACAGCAAGCTGGTCCAAGACAGGGAGGCAGCAGACCTGCTCCAACACTCAGCTGGGACAGCTGGAAGGGAGGGGGGTGGACCCACCACAGGTAAAAAGTGGGGCAATTTGAAGCAAAATCTGGAAAATGGACCTACAACTGGACTTCTTCACCCAGCTCGGAAACACCCAACTTCCATCCAGCCCAGCAGCTCCACAGCTCACAGGAGGAGACGTGGAGCTGCTCTGAGGCTGGCCACTTGGTTTTATTAACATCAGGCCCCAGCTGCACACAGCTGACATGACTGATGCCTGTCCTTGGTGGGCCAGCAGTCACGTCACCTATCACTCTCATCACCAGCCCAGCAAGGTCTGTTTGCATTTATTTAGGAAATGGCCCCCAATTCAGCACCCAGACAATGGTGCTCAGCCCCAGCACCCGCCCCCACACCTCCTCCACCCGAGCTCCAGATTCGGATAGGCACTTTCCTCCTGGGATTCCTCCTGAACATACCAGGAGGCCCCTTCGCACCGTGAGCTGGGGCATCCCCCAAACCCATGCCATCTGTCAGGTTCCCCCTCTCAGGGAAGGGCCTTGCCCTCCTCAGGCCAGACTCTGGTGCACCTCATCCCACACTCCCCACAGCCCATCAGCCCAAGACCTCTGCTCCATCCCCTCCTCTCCAAGCCCCTAATTTCCCTGGCTAAAGCCTTCCCTGCTTACAACCCTCCCACAGCCCCCCTACATCTCTGGGAATTAGCCCTGATGCTGCTGCCTGTCCTCCCTGAAGGATCTACCCTCTCCCACTCCCTTCACACCCCAGCTTTGTCCTCACTGCTCCCTAAATATACCTCCAGGTACACCTCAGCCCCACCTTTGGGGAGCAGCCCCCTCACCCCAGTGTCTCAGTTAAACATATCCTTCAAAATCAGCCTCAAGCAAAACAGCTTCCAGGAAACCTTCCCTGAGACCCCAACAGAGTGGGTTTCATGAGTGATATAAGCCCTGTGCTCAGAAGGAACCCCATGTGCTCTGAGGCTCTATTGTTGCCACCTCTGAATTCTTGGGAATGCTTTAGCAACGGGCTCACATCTTCACTCTGCACTGAGGTCCTCGAACGATGGCTATGCAGTCCCTGCTGTCAGGGCCCCACAGTGCCGAGGTGTCCTCCAGATCCCGTGTGCCAATGTCAGTCTCTCCCCGGTGCCCCTCCCCACCGATACCCAGCACTATGGTCACACGAGCAGAGAGAGGGGGATCGGCCAAGAACTGAGCTCCCACCGTGTACCGCCCATCAGCTCTCTCAGGACCACCTTGGCCTCACTATCTCTGTCTACCATGAGGGGTCGATCCATCACCCCATGTAATTCTCAGGACAACCCTACCAAGTAAGTATCACCACCCCATTTCCAGAGAGACTCAGGGAGGAGACCACACACCAGTATTCACATGTGATGGAGCTGGGATTCCAAGCAAGGCAGCCTTGCTTTTGAGCACTCTGCATAGGAAGGAGGGGGAAATGTGTGGAGGGTGGACGGGTAGGTGGGTAGGTGGGTAGAGGATAGATGCATTGATGGCTACATGGATGAAGGGATGAGTGGATAGATGCACAGACAGATAGACGGATTAAAGTGGGTGGATGCAGAATGGATGCTATGGGATGGCTGGAGGGATAGAGATGGATGGATACAGGATGGGCCCATATGCAATGTACAAAGCCATTGGTGAAAAGCCTCCAAGTGGCCCGCCAGGGTCATCTACATGCTCACCGAATCCTCCCAGATAAAGAAGTTGGGGTATTTACCGGCTTTGAGCTTCTCCAGCTTCCCCCGAAAGTCCTGAAAGCGAGTCTTGATGAACTCGGCCTCCTCACGCACCTTGTCTGCCTGCTGCTGCATTTCTAATTCATACTGCTCTTGCAGCAAGCGCCTCTTATTCTCATCCGCACGCCCTCTCACCAGGGCCTCCTGGATCTGTCAGGCAGGGGTAGAACATGCTATGGCACAGCTCCATGGGAGAGGGGCAAACTGATGCAGGTGGAGAAGACGTGTGAGCGGGAGGCGCACGGAGGCAGGGCTGGGGGGTCTCACTCACCTCCTTGATCTCCTCCCGAAGATACTCCAGGTTGGAGTTCTGCTCATTGATGAAGTTGAATTCTGTGAAGTTGCGCTCCTCCCCTGCAGGAACCAGAAGAGGCCCAGTCCAGAAAGCCCGAGACCGAGGGAAAAACAGAGCCAGGGAGACGCACAGGAGGACGGAGAAGATGTTGCAAGAGACAGCACCAAGACAAAAAGAGACCATGCTGGAGAGCTGTAGGTGGAGAAAGAAGGCACAGAAAGAGAGGCAAGTCAGAGTGAGAGTGAGAGGGACAAAGAGGAAGTCACAGAAAGGCAAAGAAATTCTGAGCCCCCGAGATACAGAAATAGCCAAGTGAGTCAGAAAAAGTGGGAGAAGTGGGGAAAGAACTGAAGACCTGGCCGGCCAGGAGACAGAGAGCAAGAGGGCCACAGAGGAGAATACGAGGTAGAGGGAAGGTATGGAGCATAACCAAGAGCCCAGGAATGCGGGAAAGAAGAAAGAATTGGGCAGGGGACATGGGCTTGGTGGGAGACACCCACAGACACTAGGAGAGGACAGAGATGCAGAACCAGGGGTGAGAAACCCTGAAGGAAGGGACAGAAGGCCCCAGACAGGGGTGGAGAGAGATGGGACAGGAGGACACCAAGCACACAGGGATGGGGAGGGAGGGGTAGAGATAGGGCCGACAGAGGCAAGGAGGGAGGTAGCCCTTCCCAGGCCTAGGAAGGTGGATGAGACCCCAGGGTAAAGCAGAGCCCCTCAGTGACCATGACCGAGCCCACTCTGCACTGGATCGGGGGTGCTGGGGGCTCAGGGCTGGCCTCTCTCTACCCCGCACTGCAGCCCAGGTCCTTACTCTCCAGGTACTTGTCCACCAGCAGGTCCAGGTCACTCTCCCCTGTCAGCTGGGACAGTTTATTCAGGGTGTCCTCGTAGCGCAGCACCAGCCTCTCCTGGGAGGTCTTTCGGAGACCCTGGGCCACCTCTTGGGCTGGGGAGAAGGGGACAATGAGGTGGGCGCCCAGGGCAGCCAGCAGTCAGAAGGCCCAGAGGGGAGAAGCAAAGGCCGCGATGCTCCCCAGGCCTAGGTGGCCCTTCGACTGCAGCCCTGTTGGCTGGTGTCCACTGGGCTGGTGTCCCCAGTGCCCTTGGAGCGGCCTGGCCTGTGGGAGGTGGTGGTGGCGGCTGCTCACCTTGCCTCTGGCGCTTCTCCAAGACCTCAGGATCTGGCTGCCGGTCGTGGTTCTTGAGCTTGAGGAAGCAGTGCAGCTGCTCCAGGTGTGCTATGCGGCGCTGCAGGGTCTGCCCCTCCATCTCATTCTGGGTCACCTCCTTGTCCGCCCTCTCCCGCAGCATCCCCATCTTGGTCTTTGCCTCCTCTCTGGGGGTGTAGAAGAGGGGGTGTTAGCCCAGGGTCAGGGAGGTTGGAGGTTGGATCAGGGCCGACCTGGGGTGGTGTGAGGAGGGTGGGATCATCCTGCGGCCCCAGGGAGGAGGCAGAATCAGATCACAGCTGTACTGGGGTCACAAAAGGCAGAAGTCTGAGTAGGTTCCTAGAGATGGATGAGCAAGGAGTTACAGCGTGAGTCAGGGCCCGGGCTTGCTAGGCCATTCAGCACACCCCCAAGGGGGCACCGCTATGAGGCAGGCAGTAGGGAATCAATGGCTGTGGGGAAACCTTAGAAATTATACTCCAAAATGGAAATGTTGGGGATACCTTAGAAGCCTCACTCACTGAACTTCCCCTGGCCAGCTTAGTGGAAGATTCAGCTTAAAAGCCAGTGCAGTCCCCTGTAAATTCAGAGAGCCCTAAACCTAGCGATCCAATCTCATTACAATGTGATTACTAAAAATGAACTCCTCATCTTTTGGGGTTTATTGGCTTTGGACTTTTTTGTCTTGTTGCCACGGACCATTCCAGCTCACACCAGCACACCTTTGCCAACCACAGTTGCCTCCACCTAGAGCATCAGCATCTTGGTCTACTCTAATTCCTCCAAAGCTTGCGAAGGTCAATCCTGGGTGGGAAGCTTCCCCAGCAACCACCAGCCCCAGCACCAGCCCCCACCTCTGGCTTCTGGGGCAGCCCCCCAGGGAACAGGTCTCACAGTTCTTGCTGTGCCTTGCGTTCCACACCAACTGAAGGGCTTGGAAGAGGGAAATCAACACGAGATCCTGAGCACCAGACCCTCAGGGGACACCCCACAACCATGAGCTATGAATCTCCACAGTGGCCAGTAAGGTAGACACCATGATAGTCAGAGTGTGGAAAGGAAGGCTCTCGAGAGGGAGGTGACCTGCCCCAGGTCACCCAGCAAGGAAGTGCTGGAGACAGTGGCTGGTCTGACCTGAAGAATCATTCGCATGCCCTTGCCCACTGGCTGAGACCACCCTGTCCTGTGCCCTCGGCTTCCCTTGCCATCACTGGAAAAGCGTGGGCCGAGGCTGATCCTGACTACTCAGGCAGGCCTATGAGCCATGTAAGGAAACCCAAGTCAGGAGCAAGCCAAGGCCACACGTGAGCAGAAGCCGCTGTGCACAGTCCAAGCACTGAAGGGGTCACAGTCCCCAAAGGGAAGAATTTACAGTGTCTGCCATCAAAAGCCCTGGTGAGGGGCCTCCATGGTGGCACAGGGGTTAAGTCTTAGAGCTATCAAGCTGTTGCCAGTCACTGCAGCACAAGTTCAAGTTTGATACCCAGCCAGGGAGCTGACCCACGGGGCATAGCAGACCTCTCCTGTCTCCTGCTGCTCCCCTCAGCAGTGTATTTCAGTCAGTCTGCCTGTTCTGCTCCCCACTCTATCTCTGGTGAATCTTCTCACCCCCCTGCACCTCTGGCCTACACCCCAGTTCTTGCATGCATAAATAAATAAAAATTAATCTTAAAAAAAAAAAAGAAGCCCCTATGAAGTCAGCCAAAAGAACCTTGAAAGCACAACACAAAATGAATGAAGCCAGACACAGTCACGTGGTGTCTGATTCCATCATATGAGATGTCTAGAGCAGGTAAGCCCTGAGACACACAGGAAGGAGACTGGGGCTGTTAGCGGGGAGGTGGGGGGAGGGGCGGGGAGGGAGGGAACACAGGTTTCCTTCTAGGGTGATGGACGTGGTTTGGATCCATCACTCTCGTAGACAGAATGAGAGCACACATTTTGAATGTACAAAATGCCACTAAATTGTACACCTTTAAATGCTGGATTTTGGTGTGTGTTTTAACTCAGGGAAGTACAGAAAGGATTGATGAGAAGAAGTGCGGGAGGGCAGGAGGGAGACCTGGGCTGCAGCTGAGGTCTGGAGGACTCATGAATCTTGAGTAAATAGAAGTTATGTGATAGAAACAAGAAACTACAGGAAGAAAAGAAACCACCTGGGGCAAGAGAACAGGGCTGAAGCTAAGAAAGCAGCAGGGTGGAATGAGACAGAGGGAGGGCATGTTGCCGAGAGCCTGTCCCTTACAGCCAGCACTAATAAGCACGCATTACTCCCATTCACGGAGTCCGAGGTTCCCGGGCCTTTCTCACCTGTTCCCTGTACATCCCAAGTGCCAGTCACAGACAAAAGCAGTCAGCCATACACCCAAGGAGCTGGGAGGTCAGTGGAGGTGGGAGAGGGCCACCTTACCCATAAAGATGTAGGCTATGATGGTCTATGTCCTGAATTCAGAACTTTTTGCTAATGCCTTAAGAAAAGGCCAGTACTGAGGGATAAAGGATAATCCAAAGGCTACCCAGGAAGCCTCCGAGGGGCCTACCTGATGGCATAGGCTGCAGTGGAAGAGACCATGATCTTGCTAACCATCTGGTGCAAGAGCTGGATCTTCTGCAGAGAAAACCAGACAGAAGACTCTGCTTACAACCTGGGCCCCACATTTCCCCACTGGGACTTAGAGCTCCTGGGCCCCAGAAATACAATCCTTCCTGATTCTGGGTAGCTGGTGGAGGTGATATGAAAAAGGTGTGAAGTGAAAGTGGCCAGGGGGAATGGTGGGGTAAGGGCTATCCGCCCCACCCCAGCCATCCACCCAGAATTCTCCTAACCTAGCCCACCTGACTTTCTGTTCTACGTCAAAAATTTGTGTGAATTTTATCACTGTGAATTCACTAATGTTTCTAGTTCCAGGGAAATGGCTTTGCAAGTGTTATGGGCTAAAAAGTTTTTTGCAGGAGGAAAAAGAAAAAATATACATATATTATTTTTTACATATGTGTGTATGTATATATTCTATATTTATACACGTGTTTATATATTAACTGTGTACCTATATACACACAATACTAACATGATACGTGCACATGGATGTATGCAAACATACATGCATGCACACACATTTACTTTGGAAAAAGATAACCAGACACCACAGCAGGGACCTCCGAGAAATAAAATAGAAGAGATTGGTGAGGACATGATGTCTCTCTGGGGTGCCTTATGGAGTTGTTTTGATTTGGAGACCATGCTAATGGTTTACGTATCCCTGAAGAAAATTACAAGCAAGACAGGAGAGAACTTAAACCGAATGCACACAAAAGCAAATGAACCTAACTATTTCAAAGAACTAAGAGCCCCATGGAGGACCAAAAAAACAGGAACACTTGGATTGTGGATACAATCATTTGAAGAGGCTAGACAGACAAGACAGATACCCACAGGCTCAGATGACAAAACAGACCACCAACAAATCTTAAACTCCATGTCTTGGGATGGGGTAAGGAGGTGCAGCTGTACTAATTCTGATTCCTCTGTGTGTAGGGGAGGATTAAGGCAATGTATATTGATGCTGTTGGGAGCCAGGGAGATAGAAAGAGAGGAGGGGAATATTCGGGAACAGGCCAGTAACCCCAAATTGTAGGAGGAGGTGTCCCCATGAACTCATGAGTATAAAACAGTCAAGCATTTCCTGGATCTCTCCAGAGAAAGGAGCTCTAAGGCACCCCATTGCTGTGCCTTAGTCTTGGTTCCTCAACACCTCCTTCTCACTAGAAAGAACCAGAACACCTCGAAGTCATGTCTAGGGGAGGATTGGGGCAGAACAAGTCCAAGATCATCTGGACTATACTCTTGTGCCAGAAAGTCAGGAACAATTCACAAAAATAATGGGGCCTGTCAAGAGAACACAGAAGCCAGCCTGAAGGGGTGCCTGCTAGCAATATGGGGAACTTCATGTGAACAATAACCATTTTAGATTCTAACCCATAAATCAGGTAAGACCACAGAATCTCATATTGACAGCCCAGGACTTCAGGCGGGGGAGTGATAAGCTCTTTCTTAAGCTTTTCCTCTCTTAGCAGAGATGACAGGTAGGGAAACAGCCAGGTGGGGAGTTGGCAGGCCTTATGGAGAGAATCATTACTGGATGCTAAGTGGGTGCAAGGGTGTCAGGAAACAGGCATTTCCAATGTCAAATCATCTCCCCACAAACCACTTCTTCATTACAAAGAAGAAAGCTCTGCATTGGAGAAAACTGGCAAACTGAGTGATCAAGATCAACATCACTTAGGATGGGACAAACGGACAGCATTGGCCTTCTGACAGGATGCAGGTGAAGAACAGAGTATCTCCTCCATACACCTCCTGAAACACAGAGCCTGAACCAAATCATGAAAAGACAGTAGTGATACCTGTATTGAGGGCTCTCAAATGACATCCAAAATGTCACAGTCATGAGGACTAAAGAGGTGTGAGGGACTATCCCCAATGCACCATAGGCCATGTGGGATCCCAGTCCAGCACCTACAGCAGAACATGGAATTAGGGGCTATGAAGGTCGGCCCTTGGGATGGTAGGTGAACTCTGAATACGGAACACTTGGAATTAGAATGATGTGCCTGATGCGATCGTGTAAGAAAGGGGTCATGTGCTCCAGAAACAGGTCCTGAAGTCCTTAGGAGCAAACTGTCTCCAATGACCTCTCGGAGAGAATAGCTGTTGTCGAAGATCACTCATGGCTTGCAGCCAGAAGAGGAAGTCCAGAGACAGAGAAAGAGTAAATGTGGTGACAGATCAATCTTGCAGAGGGATAGCGAGGAGTGCATTGGGCTATGCAGGCACCTTTTCTACAAGTTTGAAATAATTAAAGAGTAAAAGTTAAAAAAAGAAATGAGGTTGGGGGGAGCAGGAAGGAAGAGAGAGGAGAAGCAGAAGAGGTTGCTCAAAGGACCTCAAGGCTCATTGAGAGGCCCTCAGAATGTGAACAGTCTCTCTGCTCATTGGTTGCCCTGAGTGATAATGTTCAAAATGATGTTCTGTGTTTCTGCAAACATGAAGGAGAAGGCTCCTTCCTCGTTAGGAAGTCTCTGGCACATTTTCCGGGTCTCATTCCCTTAGGATTCAAGCAAGCCTGTGGCTCCAGTGGATTCTATCCTTGAGGCCCAAATGTCAGAGAAGATAGGGTGCATGGTTTGGGGAGAGTCTAGGTGAGACTGTGTCCTCCCCCTTGCTGGGCCATGGGGTCCTTGGTTTCAGGGCCACTGACCTTCTGCAACTTGCTGTGCACATTCAGATAGCGGTTCCTCTCGATCCGCAGGAGGTCCAGCTCCTCCCGAAGAGCAGAATTCCGAACCAGCTGGATGTCAAAGCGACAGGTGACCTGGGAAGGGTTGTGGGGAGCAGAGGATATGAGTCCCTCTGAGGCCTGGCCTGGCTCCCTCCTCCATACTCAGCCAAGGAGGGGCCTCTTCTCAACTGGGGCCTATTAACCTCTTGGAGGACCCTGAGAGCATTGTCTGCTCCCCACCTCAAGGACCCAGGCATCAGTCCTCTTTCCTTGGAGAACCTCCATCTCTTCAGGATACTGATCCCAGCCCTCTAGGATACTGATCCCCTCCGAAAGCCCAGTGATTCAGGCCTGCCCACATCCAGGAATCTGGTACACCATTTTCAGAACTTGACCCCATGCTCAGTTCGCCTTCCCCCACCTGCTCCCCCCATTCCTCCCTCTCCTGTCCCCTTCCCCTACTGCCCCAGGGTTGAGATGTAAAGATAGTCAAGAGGCTGAACCTTACCCTGTCCAACTGGTCTTCTAGAATCTTGATCTTTCTCCGGATCTTGACCTTCTGATCCAGGAAGAATCCTGGGTTTCTGACATCCTTACCTTGAGTTGAGATCCGGGTCTCCATTTCCTGAATCTGGAGGAAAGAAGATGGTACCAGTCTGTTGGCTGAATGTGGGAGAAATTAAGGGATAGACAGCAATGAGTGGGAGGCTGAGTGTCAGTGTGGTTGAGATCCATGGTGCGTCTGTTGTCTTCTGCTGACAGTTCCCAACCTTCCATGTTGTCCTGGCTTCCAACCCCCAGAAGCTGCCTGACCCAGGTCTGGACAATTCACCTAAAGATGGACACTGGACCCAAGCAGAGCCTGCCTGAATCCCTGGGAAAATGCATGAGCTGGATGGGTGTGTGTTTCCTAGCTCTCTCCAGGACTTCTGCCATTGTCATTCTCCCCACATGGAGAATCCTGGAGACAAGACACTGAGAGATGGCAAGACTGAGCCTGGATTGCCATCCTGGGTCTGAGAATGCTTGAAATCAGGTTCCAGCCTGTCCTCATTTCTGTACACATCCCTACTTATTTGGGGAATACTTTCTCCCCAACTAAACAGGAAGCTCTGAAACAATAGCTTTCTCTCTCTCTCTCTCTCTCTCTGTGTGTGTGTGTGTGTGTGTGTGTGAGAGAGAGAGAGAGAGAGAGAGAGAGAGAGAGAGAGAGAGAGAGAGAGAAGGTATTCAATAAAATACACAGACTGAGAGAGAGAGAGAGAGAAGGTATTCAATAAAATACACAGACTAAATGAATTTCTTAATGCCATGTTTCCCAATGTGTGTGCTGTTATGGGTTCAATTGTGTTCCTCCCACAAAAAAAAAAAAAAAAAAGTCATATATTGAAGTGCTAATACCCAGTATCTCAAAATATAACCTTATTTGGAGACAAGTCTTCAAGGAGGTAATGAAGTGAAAATGAGATCCTTAGACTGGCCCCAATCCATGAATACAGGTGTCTTTATAAAAAGAGGCAGTTTGCAAACACAGATACACAGATAGAGAGAACCCCAGGTGAAGATGAAGGCAGAGACCGGGGTAATGCTTCGATACACCTTCTATACAAGGAAAGCTAAAGATGGCCGGCAAACCACCAGAATCAAGAGGCACAGAACAGATTCTGCCTCCCAGGCCTCAGAAGGAACCAAAGGAACCAACCCTGCTCACATCTTGATTTTGAATTTCTGGCCTCCAAAACTGAGAATCAATTTCTACTGCATAAGCCACCCCAGCTTGCTACAGAAATGCCAGGAGACTAACACATGCACTGAGGCACCCCAGGGCACTGCCACAAACTCGGTGGGGGGGTATTTTAATTTTGGAGGGAGACACTTTGACATCCATCAGACACCACACCAACTTCAAGTTCAAGGTAGTTCACTGGGTAACACGAGATGGGGCCATAGTACTTTTGTTGATATTACATCCTTGTGAAACTGAGTTATTAGTGGTTGCTATGATAAAAATAAAATACCCCAAAGTATTCCCATTAGGAGACACTGGCAAAGTACACAGGGAATCTTTCTGCATGATTTCTTGTAAGGGCATGTGACTCAACAATTATCCCAGGAAATTTTTCAATTACAAAAAAAAAAAAAAAGTGCCCAGAGGCAAAAACATCCCACAGCAACTGTGTTTTTTTTCAGAATGAAATACAGTTTTTTTGTGATGTATGTGTATTCTTTTTTCAGTGGTTGTTAGATGCAAACACTCAAGTGAACTATCTGATGAATAATACTGGCAGCAGCAGAACCCCCTTGAACAGCTTCTGAGAGCTGATTTCCATCTTCAGGAATGTGGCAACTTGAATTTGATCATTGGATTCGTTGTCTGACTGGCCTAACCAATGACCTCAAACTTAGTGGCTTAAAACAACATGCATTTGTTTTTTAGACATTTCCGTGGGTCAGGCGTCTGCACTGGATACTCGGCACAGGGTGTCCCAGTGGCAATCAAGGCACCCACCAGGGCTGTAGTCTCTGGGACTCATCATGGGGTGGCCAAATTCAATTCCTCACAGCTGGGGGACTAAAGCTCTCAGCTGCTCAGAGGTCCAGCATGTGCATTCCACTGCACGATAGCTTGCTTCTTTCAGGCCAGAGGGCAAAGGATCCACAGAATCAAAATAAGAAAATCATCCTTCTTGGGCTTGTCGCTGGTGAGTTTCCATGAAAGACTAAGGAAAACCATTTGAAGCAGTCAACACCCACTGTACCACCAGAAAACAGCCAAAAGTTTGGCCCGTGTGAATCAGAATTCAGCTTCCAAAGGCAGTTTGGGGTGATATGGAAAGCTGAACAAATTGACTGAAAATCAAGTGTGAGAAACCTAGAGAACATGTGGTAAACGAAACAATACCCTCACCACCCCCCCCCCCCCCCCCCCCCCCCCCCCCCCCGGCACAAAGACCTCCATATCCTAGTGGCAGGAACTTATGAATGTGTAAATGCAAAATTCTTTGCATATGTGATAAAGTTGGGGCTCTTGAGGTGGGAAGGTTATTCTGGATTATCTGGTCAGCCAAATGTCATCAGGAAAGTCCTCAGAAGTGAAAAAGGGAGGAAAGAGAGAGTTCAAATAACTGGAGAGATGACAGCGGCAGGGGTAGAGCTACACAGCATGAGAAAGACTTAACCAAAATCCTTACTGGCCTAGAAGACAGAAAGTCAGGAGCCCAGGAGTCTAGAGGCAGTTTTAGAAGTTAGAAGAAGTCAGGAAACAGATTCTTTCCTGAAGCCTCCAGAAGGAACACAGTCCTGCTGACAAGCTCATCTTAGCCCAGAGAGACCCAGTGAGGCCTCTGTCCTCCTGTACTGTAAGAGAATTAATTTATAGTCTTTTAGGACATCAAGTTTGTGGTCATTTGTCACAGCAACAACAATACAAATACAGGCCACTGAGATAAGTACCTGCTAAATGCCTGTTTGTGATCCAATCATGTGCAAAAAATCATTTGGCCTAGGCAAGCAACTTTGTTTAGTGAAGCATCCTAGAGAAAATAGCACCATGAATCCCACAAAAAAACAAAGTATCATTTGGTGACACTTTAGTTTCTAAGATATATGTGTGTGTGTTAATATCTTTATGCATCTGTGCTTGGAGGAGCTGCAGTACCAGTGAGTCATGGCCATAAAAACCTGAGAGAACATGGCCTAGAAAAGTCACATTACTTCCAACAAGGTCAAATAGCAAGGTCTGGAGGCAAATGGGATTAGAATCCTGTCTAGACTACACTGCCTTAGCAGGATCCTTTTTGCCGGTGAAGAAACCAGAGCCCAGAGAGGTGAAGAAGCTTGCGGTCACACAGCTCTGATGTGGCAGGGCAATGACCTAACATAGGTTTCACTGACTCCAGAAGGTGACCCTTCTCCCATAACCACCCAGTGCCCCTTTTTTGTATGCCCGTGACTTCCCTAAGTCCTGCACACCCACTAGAGCTTGAGTTCAACTCTCCCAGGTGGATACTTGCAGTAACCCACTTTCAGATAATGATGCTAAGGCCCAAAGTGGTCAAGACACATGCCCTAAGCAGGATCCAGTGTCTGGTCTCAGAACCCACCTCCTTGTCCAGGGTGCTGATCTGCTCCTGCACCTCATCAATTTCTGCCTGCACTTGGGTACGGCACTTCAGCAGGTGAGCCATGTTCTTCAGCCTCTCTCTGTCCCGCAGCCGTTTGACCTGGCCCTGGGCCACACTGATCTGCTTCTGAAGTAGGTCCCGCTCTTCCTGCAGGTGCTGGATCTCCCCACTGCCCAGGCCGGGGCGGGGAGGGGTGACCGGCAAGAACAGAGCTCAGCATCATTAAACACAGTGAGCCAGGCCTCTCCACTGGGACCCAGTCCCTTCACCAGCCCCCTTGCCCAGCTCCAGGACCCAGGCACTAGCTGAGCTCACAGTTGTTTGTTGATGCGCTGGTAGACTCCCTTGCTGTAGGCCCGCCTCTCGCCCTCCATCACTTTGCACTGTCGCTGCAATCTGCTCAGCTCCCACTCCACTGAGGGATGACCAAGCAAGGGATTCAAAGGCAATCCAGACCCCAGGTTTTCCTGTCCAGGTCCTACAAATCCTGGTTTCCTTTGAGCCTCACAAACAGCACCTAAGCTGCTGGTCAAGTCCCCAACATCCCTCTAGTACTGAATGTCAGTTCCTGTATCCCTGAAGCTTCCTCCACCCTTCATATGCCCTTTGTCTCCCCAGGGGTTTTTCCTCTAAGTCCTCTTCCCCTGGGGTTTGAACACACATCTGTTTCTCCAGCAAAGGGCACTCCTGCAGGGCCTTACAGTCCTGGGAGCCCAACCCTTTCCCAACTTGGGAAAGCTGAGGACAGGGGCTGAGACCCTCATGGCCCCTTCTTGTTCCATCCGTCACCTTCCCGTCAACTTTAGTCCCCAAAGCCCAGCAGTCCTCAGTTCCCTGCTCCCACCTCCACATTCTCAACCCCAGCCCCTAGAGTTAGGCCTCCTTATCTGCTGCCTGGATCATCACTCCGGCCTCCTTCTCCACCTCCCCTCCACACCTGCTCTTACAGACCCCAGAATCTTTCTACACCCAGAGACCACCTGCCCCTCCCCTTCCTACTCACAGACCTCTGCTGGAAACTCCAGCTCCTCAGCCAAGAGTTAAGGCTGAGAACCCGGTGACCTTACACTACACAGACTCTCTCCATTCTCCCCCACCAGCTCCCCACCACCCCAGCCCAGTGGGCGAGGCTTCAGGGGACTGCCAGGGACATGGTAACTCTGTCTCACACAGGGATGTGGCAATGTCTGGAGTCCTGTTTGATCATCATGGTGGCTGCGGAGGGGAGGGAGGTTCTACTGGCATCTAATGGGGAGCGGTGGGGAGGGATGCTGCTAAGCACACTACAAGGCACAGAAAAGTTCCCACAACCAAGAATTCTCTGACCCTAGTGTTGACAGTGCAGAAGTGGAGCAACCTGCTTCAGAAAACGCTGTTTTCGCTACTGAACCACTCTTCCCTTCCTTCTCCCCTTGGTAATTCTTGGGAGGAGTTCTGTCCTCCCTGGAGAAAAATGAGGAAAACAGTGAGTGAAACAGAATGGATGAATTACCGAGTCCCTCCACAAAGACCTCACTTCCATCCTCCGAGCGGCTGCTCCCTGTTGGGGCTCCCACAGGCATCGTGGACACTGTGGACAGGCTCCTGGAAGGGGTGTACAAGGGACACCTTCAGAGAGCAAACAAGAGAGGGGCAGAGTAGGTGGGCGAGGGACCCCAGAAGCAGCTCTGGCCTTTCTGAGCCTCAATTCCTACATTGGGTTGGAGGGGCATCTTTCAGGCTTCTCGTACCTTCTCAGTTTTTTATCTAGGCTCCGACTCTGGCGTCGGGCACAGGTCGCCTGGGCCCTCGTATCTCCGCAGCAGGGCTGTTTGGGGAAGTGGTCACGGTGGAAGGCGAAACCCCTGCCAGGCTGTGGGTTCCTACCTGACCGAGTCTCTGCTTTGTCTTTGGTGCTCCAGGCTCACTGTTGTGGTCTGGTTGCTGGGGAGACAAGGGACCAATGAGGCCTAAGGACAGCGGGAGGGGTGGGGACCGAGGCCAGGAGGAGAGGCCGTGGGAGGAGAGGCTGGGGATCAGGGACCTAGATGCTGCAGCCGACCTGCTGTAAAGAGGGGCGGGTGTGCTGTGGGAGGAGGGGGTCACGAGGGCAGTAGAGATGGGCGGAGGGGTCCTGAGAGGGGCGAGGCAAGGAAGGACGCGGGCTGCGGGCGGCCTAAGAGGGCGGGTGAGGAGTGGGCTGCGAAGGACCGGCCTTGCGAGGGCCTTGTGAGGGGGGGCTGGACGGGGCGGGGGCGGGCTTCGGGGTGTGCGGGACAGGGCGCCAAGACCTGCAAAGAGCGGAGCTGGAAGGGCCTGCGAGGGTTGGGCTGCGGCGGGAGCACCAGTACCGTGAAGGGCGGGGCTGCGGGGACTGGCAAAGGGAGGGACAACAGTACCGCAGGGGGCAGGGCTTCGGGGGACTCCCCGGGGCGGGGCCGGGCCCCGCGAAAGGCGGCACAGTGTTCTTGTAAAGGGCGGAGCTTCGGGGGTCACACGAGGGGCGGGGCGCGGGTACCTGTGAGGGCGGGGCCGGGTACCTGTGGTGGACGGGGCTCCGGGGAGCGGAGAGCGGCATGCTTGGCAGAAATCGCGAGGTGCCTGGTGAGAAGGCGCTGCAGAGAAGCTCGTCCCCAAGCTCGGCGGGGGCCGGGGGTCGTCAGGACGCACGCACCCTCGGGGAGCCTGCGGGAGGTCGGGACGGCCGGCACGGAAGCTCGGAACTGGGACGCCGCGGGCTGTGAGGGGCGGGCCGCGTGTTTCCGAGGGGGAGAGCGCGGAGCTGGAAGAGCCTGCGGGGGCAGGGCTGGGAGGGAAACGTCGGGAAGGCTTGGGGGCTAAGCCAAAGCCCTTCGGAACAGGGCGCGAGAGATGCGACTCCCAAGCTCATGAAGACCACGTTATTTGGAGAACTCAGCAGCAGGGAGGCGGGGCCGCAGCCGGGAGTGGCGAGAGAGACGACCGCTCACCGCTGCCTCAGGGCCTCGCAACGCTCAGTACGCATGCGCAGCTAACGGCCTCCAAAGCAGCCGCCAAAAAACGCTTTGCCGCCTGGAGTCCGCGCACTCGGAGGCGGAAGTGGGCGGGGCCTGTGGCGCATGGTACCGCCCCTTCCATCCGACCACGCCCCTGGCTGGGCACTCCCCCTCGGTGGCCAGCTGCTGCCCACGTGGGCCGTCCGGGAGCGGGCGGGTAGTGGGCGCCTCTCTCTTATGGCTGGGTGTGCCCAACGCCTGCGGTTTCCTGTGGGAGGAAGCGGCAGCCTACGGGCCCTCTGCTCAGCTTGTAGCCTTGGAGGCCCAAGAGGGGGAGATCCCACCACCCCCCTCCCTTACCCTGGTCTCACCCTTCCACAGGACCCTAGCGTGGGAAACCCCAGAGCAGCCTCTGGGTACTAAATCTGACGCTGATTCCACTCAGGGAACTTGGCTCAGAGTCCTAGCCGCCTATTCTCCACCCTTAAACCCCCCTTAATTTTCCATCTCCACTCTTCCAGGCACCCAAGGCCCATCCACTGTCCCTGTCCTCCATGAAGAGCACATGACCTCCAGCCCCTAATATTTCCCCCATGACGTGACCAAGACACTAACACAACTGGAGATTGGCAGTCTGAATCCCAATCTCTCTCATCTAGGACTCAGGCTCAGGACTGCTTATTCCCCACCCGTGGAAACCCTCATTTAGGACCCTCTTGGGGTCCAAAGGATTCAAGAACTTACACTTCCCCAAACCTAGAGATCTTGAACTAAGGTCCTGAATCCACTGGCTCCAATGCCTTGTATAATCAGCACATACCATAATGCTTATAGGTGTCAGGAACTCTAAGGAACTACTAGGATGTATTTATTATTACCTCTATTTTACAAAGAAACTGAGGCATAGAGAGATTATTAGTAACCTGTCCCAAATTATAGGCAATGGCTGCAGCAGCTTGGGTTCAAATCCAGCCAGTCTGGTTCTAGAGCGTGGGCTCTACAGCTTCTGGGTCTCCCAAGCAACCAAGTGCCTATCCAGTCACTGAACTGCCCATCCCCATTACCCCTTGGGGAGACCAGATGGTCAACCACCACCTCGTCTTAGACTCCATCAGACACCCAGAAGTCCCAGTTCCCTTCCCTGCCAATGACCCAGGATTTCAGTTCTCTCTCCTTCTGGTCTCTGTGCCTCACTTTTCACGAGCACCCGAGCTTCCAAGAGAGCCAAGTACATACTAGTCATCACCTACACACACAAACGCCCACCCTAATTCAGATCCCCAAGAATAAATAAATAATAAGAGTTAACATTAAATCCCTAGTGCCATACTGCTGTTTAAACCCCTCCAATGACTTCCCACTGCACTTAGAATTAAATGCACACTCCTCCCCTCAGTTTCAAGGGCGCTCTTTGATTTTCCTTTCTACCACTCCCTCTGGCTCCCTACATTCAAGCCACACTGGCCCTTCTGTCTGCTCCCCAAACAACCTGAGCTTGTTCTCAAGAGCCTTGCAATTCCACTCCCACCCCCACCCTCACCCCATTCTGATAACTCCACTCTTCAGGTCTCAATTCAGGTTATCACTTCCTCAGAGAGGCCTCACTCTGGTTGAGGTGACCTTCCTCCACCTCACTTTCTCCTTCAAAGCACTTAACACTATCTGTAATGTGTCTTCTTCATGGATACGGTTTCTCTTGCTACTAAGAAGGTAAGCTCCACAGTAACCGTAGGGTTCGAATCTGTTTTCTTCATTATTAACAAGTAGTTCCTAGCAGATGTCCAATAAATGTTTCATGAAGAAAGGAATGGATATGTTAAACGTGTTAGTGTGCTGGCATCACCTTACTCATTTAGAGTAAGTCTTAGTATTATCAATACTAGTATATAGTCAGTATTATTAGTATTTATTGCACCTACCTCACAGATTTGAAAACTGAGGCTCAGTTGAAATAATTGGTCAAAGTTCCCCCAGCCAGGAAATGGCACTGAGATTCTTAACTTCCATCTCCTTCTAAAGTTTTACACACTCCCCTTCCCATCCCCTGACCCCCCACCATGGCACCAATTCACCAGCCACCAGGAATTCCCACTCCTGGCTGCAGAAATCTGGTCTCCTCCCCCAGACTGCTACCCCTCCAAGTATTCAGTCCTAAACCTCATCGGGGAAAGCTGACATCCGGTCCCAGAACCAGCCCCAGCCCAAACCAGGAGCAGTGGTGGCCTGAGATTCAGACCCTCCCACCCTCTGATGCTTGCCCCACCCCAGGATACCCCTCCCTCCCTCCAAGGACTTCTCCTCTCAACCCTGTTAGGGAGCCCCTGAAGATGCCTGTCTGGGGGCAGTGGGTGGGGGCCCAGAGAATGAGGAACCCGAGAGCCTGGGCCCTCCCTCTGGCTACAGACCTCAGCTGGGTGCGGTGAGGGTGGGTATAAAAGTGCCGGTATATATTCAGAGGAGCAGAGGAGAATCCAGGAGAGCGCGAAGAGAGAGAGGAGGAGGTAGAGACAGGCAGTGAGAACAGACAGAGTGAGACAAGAGGCAGAAGGACCAAGAAAGAGACAGGGAGAGAGAGAAAGAAAAGGTTCCGGGATTGGAGGGAAGGAGGGAGCAAGTCGAGTCGGTGGGGCGAGCGCGCGAGCGAGCGAGGGAGGGAGGAAGGCAGCGAGGGAGGCGGGGGGCCTCGGAAGGGTGGAAGGAGGGAGGAGAAGGGCGGGGCACGGAGGCCTGAGCGAGGGACGAGACTCCGACTCTGACTTTCTCAGCCGATCGGTAAGTTTCCAGTCCGTTATTCGGACTGGGATTTCTTGATTTCCTGGGGAGTACATCAGTTTGGGGAGGACCCCTGTGGAAACCCTGGTGATTTAAGAAGTGATCTGGTAGCACTCAGGGTGAGGACTCGGAAAGGGGTGGGGCCAGGAACGTTTCGGGGGTCCCAGCAGACCTCGCCACCCTAAAACTTCCTGCAGATTGTCCCAACGGCAGTTCACTCTCTCCTGGGGAACCTGAGGTCAAGGCTTTTACCTGAGAACGCTTCAAGTCTGAGGAACCTTCAGACCCTCCCTCCCTTGCTGGACACTGAAGGGTGATGGGAGGCTGACTCCTCCCCTGCCCTATCCTAAGATGGGTCTTGTGTCCACTTTCCCACCAGGTGTCCAGCAGGCACCATTCTGGCAGCTGGGTGGGGTGGGGACCTCATGGGCATAACCAGGGGATGGGGTTTCCCTGGTTAGTGCTTGGAGGCAAGATGTGGGATGAGTCACCAGATGACTCATCTGACCCCCCTCATCCCCCCCACCCGGGGAGAGGAATGGGGTGAGTCAAGGATGCCTGTCCCTGGGGGCAGCCCCCAGCTTCTGAGAAATCTGGAGGGGTGTCAGCTTGAATTTTTATATCCTGGTACATATGTCTCCAGGGATGGAGCTCTGAGGAGAAGGGAGCTTCATTGCTAGTCTTACTCCCTCCAGGACCTAAGAGCCCATCCCTAGCCCTCTCTAGGGACCTAGACCTCTCTTTAGGACCCCAACCTCCTCCCTCAGACTTAAGAAACCTGACCCGCAGCCCCTTTCTCCATTAGACCTGGGAATCTGGACTCAGGATTTGGGTATCTCACCAGCCCCTGTGCCAATTTCTTGAAACTACCATCTCCTGACGTCCTCCACTGCAGACATGTCACTCCTCCTGCTGGTGGTCTCTGCTCTCCATATCCTCATTCTCATCTTGCTTTTCGTGGCCACTTTGGACAAGGTAAGTCTACTGGAGGCCCTGGGACCTCCAACTTTCCTGCAGACTTGAGCCACATCCCATCCTCTAAAGTCACCTAGCCCTGCAACAGGGTGGTCCCCAGGAAAGGGGGAGGTTCCCTGCCCCACCCCACCTCCCCTTCTCCCAGCATTTACCCCTCTGAGCCACATTTCTGACCGCACGTCACTACTACCACCTCACCAGCCCCTTTCATACTAAATCCATGCTTTCCCCAGTTCAGCCCCTACTTAGTATCTCACCATTTTTCCAAACTGTTCCCACCCACCTGCCTCCTGGTCCTGCCCACTTTCTTCCCTAACTGTTTCTCTCTCCACCCCAGTCCTGGTGGACCCTCCCTGGGAAGGAGTCCCTGAATCTGTGGTATGACTGCACATGGAACAATGTCAACAAAACGTGGACTTGCAGTAACGTCAGTGATAATGGTAAGGGCTGAGGGGCATCAGTGACTAGTCTGCAAAGGGGAGGGGTAACCCCAAGTCCTCTGCCAGGACCAAGGATTGGGGGGTCCCCTGCCCCACAGGCTTGAGTAGACAGGGCTGAGTCCCAGTGCTGAGTGAGGATGAGCTAAAAGTCCCCCTCATCACTTAGAAAGAGAGGAAGCCATGCGTTAAATAGGTTTAAGGAATGGGGGGAAACCACTCAAGATTCCAAAGTTCCAAGCATATGGGACTAGGGTTCTGAATGGATGGCTCGACCCAATTTGTCCAAGTTCCAAGAGGGTTGGCGTGGAACCACATTAATATTCCAAAGAGGTGGGACTGAATCCTTGTAAGGTTCTGAAGGAGTGCTGCCATATGCATCTGAGAGGTGCACAGAGAGCTACATCCACTAAAATTTATAAGTGAAAGATTGTATGTTTTTTCCCCTCGGAGCAAAGAATTTCTGCACTCTATTCAACTAGTACTAGAGGTAGCCAATTCAACATAGCAAGAAAAATAAATAAAAGGCATAAAAATGGGGAAGATGTAAAAACGTCACTATTCCTAGTGGACATGTTTATGTATAAAATTCTAAAGCAGCTTCTGCAATTGATAATTTAGCAAAGCTACAGGAATCAAGCATCCAAGTGATACTGCTAAGTATCTAAGGTTGTATGGCTCTAAATGGAGAAGGTTTGTGAGCTGGTAATGAAAGCACAAGCAGGTGGAACTAGAACTCTGGACCCCCTGTGACTTCTACCTCTACCTCCTTATTACAGGCTGGCTAAAGGCAGTGCAAGTCCTCATGGTGCTTTCCCTCATCCTCTGCTGTCTGTCCTTCATCCTGTTCATGTTCCAACTCTACACCATGCGTCGAGGAGGACTCTTCTATGCCACTGGCCTCTGCCAGCTGTGCACCAGTAAGCACTGTTCCCTGGGAGTTGAAGGGTAAGGAGGGGGCCTATCAAGAGGCTGGAGGCCCCAAAAACGGACATCTGGTGAAAGAAAACAATTCTCAACAGCCTGAGGACCACCTCAGGTGCTATTTGAGCTACCTCTGCTCCAGGGACTTAAGAGCTGTAGATTTCAGTGCTCCATGGTGGCTTGTGGTATCTATGAATTACGGGGGATGGGGTGAGCGAGGAGGCTGGCCCTTAGGGTTTCAATGAGGATCGGGGAAAGGAGTGTAGGCAAATGATTTCAGTCACAGGGATGGGAGTAGGGTTAGGTGGCTAATCAATACCCCAGGATTCTGAATCACATTAGTACTGGTTTCACAATTATCACGGTGACCAGTTCCGACTTCTTGTGAACCTACGGTGTAGCAGACACACCAGGGAGTTTTAAGTACTTTTTTTTTTTTTTTTTTTTTGACTTCAGGTGCAACAGCTAAATTTATTATAAGTCCTCAGTTTGGGGAGCAACATCTCCCGGGTCTGCAAAGCACCTCTCGTTTTATTAATTCACTCTCTGAGTACTGAGCTTGTAGAAAGGCACTCAGAACAATTCCTTGGACGGGTGGATGAGTAATTTATCATGGTCTGATTTTACGGAGTAGTCATGGGAACTCAGAAAAATTAAATTGTCCAACCCCCGGCTGAAGGAGTCGCGTTGCTCAGAGCGAGGGAAGCAAAACCACAACTCCCAGAAGGCCGCTGTGCCGTGCGCTCGCCCTCTCCGGTAGCTTCTTTGCCCCTTGGGTTGTTGGGGAATGTAGTCCATTAGCGAGGACCGCAGGACACGTGATTCCGTCTCCCCGCAGGCGTGGCGGTGTTTACCGGGGCGCTGATCTATGCCATCCACGCGAAGGAGATCCTGGCTAAGAGCCCGCCGGGGGGCAGTTTCGGATACTGCTTCGCCCTGGCCTGGGTGGCGTTTCCCCTCGCCCTCGCCAGTGGCGTTATCTACATCCACCTACGGAAGCGGGAGTGAGCGAACCGACTCACTGGCGACGCCCCCAGCCCGCGCCCACCCCACCTCTCACCCCGAAACCCCAGACCCCGCGCGTCCTCCACAAAATAAAACGGTTTAACCGCCGGCTCTGCCTTTGCCTTCTTGCTTCCTTCCTCTCCAGGGACCCCTGCTGCTCACGCCGGATCTCTTCTGATTCTGGGATGGCCCCCCACCATCTGCAGCTCCGCCCTCAGAATGTCTAGCTACAGATCCCCCGTCCTTTTTACAGGACGCGGCAGCCCCAGGCCCTGAAACCTCCCATTAAAAAACCCCAGTGCAGACCTTCAGGCACTTTGGGAAGATACAGGAGTGTGGGCTTCCCCACCTCCCCTAGTTGCACAAGGGTCTGATACCAGGCCGGCTGGATTTCTTTCTTCATCTCTCTCACTCTGCCCTTTCCTCTGGGAAGACACTTCCCTCATTAGGACCCAAGCCCTCTTCTTCCCCCTACCTCCAGATGCTGCCTCTAGACCATGAGATAGTACCATCCTTCTCAAGGCTTACCCAACCCCCATCAGGATACATTGGGGGGGGGGTTGGGGGGGGACACCGAGGAGCAGAGGAAAGCTGGGAAGCTGGCTCTCACACCTGCGCACTGCTGTGTGCAGTGAACAATCTGCACAACTGTACATGGTCACCCTACCTCCTTTCCTGAAGTATCGGGTCCTTCCCAACATCCTCTTCTGTGACCCACTGCTACTGTATTTTACCAACTACAAGCCCGGTCCCTAGGACTGTTACAGCTCTCTCTGCCCAGTACCCACCCCATTTCCGGAGACTCAAGAGTCTTCTTTCCAGGACTCAGGTGCCTTCCTTCTCTCCATGCTCTGCAGCTACCCCACTCATTCTGGTATGGTAAGCATGATTTATTTCTTTTGGAGAGAGGACAGGAGAAACTGATAAACTGATAAATATTGCACAGGCCATTGTTGAGGGGAAATGCAGACCGAGGTAGTTTCTTTAGAAAGGGTGAGGGATGTGGGGAGGGAAAGCACCTGAAGTTGTGGGGGCCCCAGTGGAAGTGAGTCTTGGAGTAAGAATGGTCTCTGGCCCACAGCTCTGTGCCTGGCACAAGTCTCCCAACCCCTTTAGCCTGGACAAGCTAGTAAGTGGCTGACCAGATGCCAGCCTGCCTGCCTTACAAGCAGAGGCAATTGATAGAAAGATCAGGTTTCCTTTAGAAATTCTTACTGGTTGCTTCTAGGCAGCAACAACTGGCTGCCCAAGGCTGATGGTGCCCAGCAGCTGTCACTGGCAGTTAGCCAGAGAACAGGGCTAAAAAAACGTCTCATTGGCTGTGGACTGGAGCTCCTCCTTGGTGAATATGATGGGCAGTTCGCCCAGAACAGGCTAAAAAGACAATGATATATAGTCTTGGGAGGGTACAGTTTAGCAACTGTGCCATCCTCAGCCAAACGGGGGTGGGCCTAAGAAATGGACTAGAAGCAGAGCTAATAAGCTGTGATTGGCTGTTAACCGTAAGAGGTGGGCCCAGTAAGTGGAGGCTGCCTTGATTGGCAGATTTAAGACTTACAATGTAACAGGAAGCCATTGCCTGTGACTGGAAAATGGGGAGTGGTAAAGCTTAGCAGCTGTAACTGACAGCTTGTCATGGGGAAGGCGGAGCTTAGTCCCTAACCAGGTGGCTGGGCTGAGCAGCACAGAGGTTTCCATCATGCGTGCTCACTACTGGTGCTGCCTGGGGGAACTGGGAGGTAACTACAGTCAACGGGTCTAGTTTGGGGAAACCTGGAGGTGGGTACATCCCGATGCTGGGGGTCAGGGCTTGCAGGTGGGCCAGGGCCCGAGTTCCGTTGAAGGCCACCTCACAGCCTGACTGCGCCAGAAGCCAATTCTCCACCTCAGACTGGAGCCACCTGGAGGTCTCTGTGGGGGTGGGGGGGAAAAGGAAGGTGTGAAAAGGTGACGTTGGTACTAGGAAGGAAGGCCTGGAGGGCTGGAGGGGACTGGAGGGAGGGTATACTTGAAGCTAGAAGGGGAATAGGACAAGGCCTAAAAGGGGTCTGACTAGATCTCTCATCTAGGGCCAAACTCTCCTGCAGATCCTGTTGCTCAGGTAAGGGTGGGGGCTCTTGCTGGGAAAAGAACAGGAGAGAATAAACAAGAATCACTTGCTGGGAAAATGTGGCCTCATGTACAGGAATGAATTCACAGGGAGTGTGGGGGCCTAAGTAGCCGGGAGGTATACCACAGCAGGAGTCTGATCCAAGACCCTATCTAGCCTGAGGTCAGGAAAGTGAGGTTATCCCAGGGAGGGGCTACACTCATCCAATTCAGAAACGGGGTTGAGGGTCGGGGTCAAGTTGGAAATGGGTAGGCTTTACCAGGGGGAGTGGGGATGCTGTCTCACTAGGGTGGAGCCACTTGGGACTTAGAATGAGTTTGGGTCCTGCAGGGGCAGGGCAGAGACAATCTCCTTGGGTATGGGAACCCACCTCCCACAAGGGGGCGTGGCATATTAAGGGCGGGGCTGTGGCATAGTGGGCAGGGCCATAACTGTAGGGTCCTAGGGTCCAGTCCTACCCTCTGGCAGGTCACTTGCACCCTCGGGCCTCCTAGCCAGGAAGCTGTGTGCCAGCAGCGCCTCCTTGGTATGCTCGTCCTGGGCACGCTGGGCCAGTGCACTGAGCAGTTCCGAGTTGTTGGACGTGCTGCGGTAGTAGAGCATGTGGGCCAACTCCAGCGCCTGCACATTGCGCAGCTGTCCGAACATCTGCAGGCAGAACAGCCCTCACGATGGAACCGCCCTTTCAGCCAGCTCCCTGGCCTACTCCCACACCGCCCAGATCGCTTCTGTTCAGGTCCAAGGAATGGGGCCCGACTATATATATTCTGTTACAATGTAATAGGAAGCCATTGCCTGTGACTGGAAAATGGGGAGTGGTAAAGCTCCCACACACATAGACAGGTCAACAGTTTTTAGCCACTGCTGCACTGATCTGCTCATCTGAGCCATATGTTATGAATTGGTTCAAGGATTTCTAGACCATTGCAGGTGTAGCCGTGGAACTTTTTATGAAACAATGTTCCTTTTTTAAGAAGTTCTTCTCTTTCACCCACTAAATTAATTCATGAACTGGGTTTTAAACTAGGACCTTAAGAACCCAAGAGACTCCGCAGCCCCCCAGAGCCACTGAGAGGTGGGACAAAACCCATCTGGGCTGGGACTCTGCTTGACACCCCTCACCCGCCTCCCTATTTTAGTCTGGCCCTTCACCTCACTCCTCCCTGGTAGCTGCCCTCCCTCCATGCTAACAGTGCTTCTAAGGCTCCCTGCTGCCCTGGGGATAAAGCCCAGGGCCCTTATGTTGGCAATCAAGGACCTTCCCACCCTCTGGGGCTCACTTCTCCAACTTGGGAGAGATCCCACAATGCGCTCACCCAGCCCTTTCTCTACCAGGCCTAATCCTCCCCTTTCAAAGTGTGACCCCTGCTTCTGAGCACCGAATGGCTCCCTGCTGCCAGTCCTTCTCAGCAAGCATTCCCTGGCTATTTTCTGCGGGATTTATTACCAGTCCTCCTAAGAGCCCGTGGGGATGGCTGAAAACAGCTTGAAAAACAATGAACCAGCACAGGAATGATTGGGTACCACGGATGCCTCCAGCCAACCTACACGCCTGGGGCCAGTGCCAACACTGGGGAGAGTCAGTAAAAGGCAGCCCTCCAGGCTGACTCAGCCTTGAGACGGGGCCCACGGCCCCACCAGCAAAACACAAGTGGGGTGTCAGCCCCAGCCACCCCTCCACCACCGATCCTTGAATGGTGAACAACCTGTGCAACTGTATGAAGCGGCCCTGTATTCAGGTGGAGCAGAATAGTTAAAAATATTAGGCCCAGAGTTTCCTCTTCCTTTCATCTAGGCTGGAATCCTAGAAACTGCATTTATAAACTATAAGACAGCATCCTCGGTAAGAGTGACACCCAGGCAGGATGGGGAAACACAGACTCCAATTAGTAATAATAATCATCAGTAATAATAGCTGGTTAGTAATATTCATCCTCACAGCTGCTTCTCCTATATCACCCTTTGTACCGTATGCCAGATTCTGTTCTCAGCCCCGGAGACATATTCATCCATTCATATTTATATCAGTTTTTTTTTTTTTTTTTTCAAAAAACCAACCTTTCTATTAGTTTAGCATATTTTTAAAAAGACAGTACATTTATGGCCTACAAAGAATAACGATTTTAATTTTTCTATCATACTAGTAGCTTCTAGGGGGGAAATTCTTTGTTTCAGTAAGACTGAAAAGCTCCCTAAAAATATGAATTCAGACTTTTTTTCCTATGGAGTTGTTGTGAGGAGAATCTTTTTTTGGGTCCCTCTTCTGGCCTTCCCTGGGTCAAGATCCCCTCTTCCTCACGCCCCCTGCAACCTAGGCACTGCCACACCTGCTCTGCTGGAGACACATACCTGGACAGATACTGTCTGGCACTGCATGTAAAGAATTCATTGAATCCCTGCAAGAGCCCTATGCTGTTGTCCTCCCTGCTTTCCAGACGTGGGAGTTGAGGCACAGAGAGGTTAGGTAGCTCCTTTAACACAGCAGGAAGAAGGTTTGCAGAGCTAGCTTCAAACCCAGGCAGTCTGGTTTGAAAAGCATGTCCTTCCCCACCTCTTGGAGCCGTGAACATTCATTTGTTGAATTCTCAACCAACCCTCCAAGGTGGACTCAATGTTATCCCCACCTTCCAGATGAGATTCTGAAGTGCAGAGAGATCGAGACATTTACCCAAGGTTGTGATGAGTAAATAAGGTAAAGAAGGAGGGGAGAGAAGAGCAGAAAAGGGGAGTGGGGGTAGGGGGAGAGGAAGAGGGAAGAAGGGGACAGGAGGGCATGAAACTGCAGGAAGCGGGCATAATATACGAAATAAATCACAATTACAGAGTGACCTAACTTTTGGCTGAATTCCAAGAAGCAGGGATTGGGAAGGCATGGGGGTGGACTCTTACCTTGGAGGCACGCAGGCCCATGAAGGCAGCAAAGAGCAGCAACAGCAGGGAGGTGGCCATCTTGAGGTCTGACAGCACCACCATGCCCACATTGACGAAAAATATCACACCAGACACGACGAGTGTG